CAGGATTCTATGCTCCCAAAACTTGGTATCTTTCTGGATGCTAAAAGGGTCTAAGTGGTTTTTACAAAGTTCCAGAGAATTAAAATTCATTCTATTAAGAGAAATTTGTAGGGATTAAAATAAGTGGTAATCTGAAGGTCAAGTGAGTATAGTGGACATAGTAGGATTTCCAGCTAAGCTGTATTAATTTCTAACAGGTCTGGTCATGATGGAAGATAAATGATTCTCAATGATTGCTGTCTTTAATCAAAATCCAATTGGGAATAGTACCTGTCTGAATTCACCTCCTTTGGATACAGATCAACTTCTGGAGTCATTAATAGATCATTCATTTCCCACATTATGCAAACAATCTATTTTTTCTATTGCCTACGATCATTCTTTTAAAAAAATGAGTCATTTTTGTTGTGCTTGATCAGAGTATCAGTATTGCAATCCATTAAATATTTTCCTGTTAAATTTTGAGCCACCCAGCCATCATAGCAATTCACATAACCACACATTTTCAACTTACAATGCTCATATGATACATGAAGTATCTCTGCAATGTTTCATATTGTAAAAGTTGGATTATTTTTAATTAACATTTTCATTTGGTCTACAGCTGCAAGCCTGCCAAAATGTTCTAGATCTTCTAGATCAAAATTTAAAGTTCCAAACATAGCAAACCACTTTTATGAATAGTATGCTTATGGCACCATCTCCATAAATGGCACATAACTTTTTGCTGTTTGTACAGTGATTTTTCTTTCTTTCCAGAAACAAAAGAACATCAAATGACAAAAATGCATCTCATTTTCCTCCATTTTCACTTAACATAAAACATTTAAAATTAACAACCCACAAATCATGTGTGAAATGTCAGTTTTCAGAATATGTATAAATGTCATAAATTTCAGCAATGTGTGGAACAAAAACCAGTGTTTAAATGCCACCTATTGAAAAAAAATGCTACAAACTTTTGTCACAGCTTAATACTGTTTAGTCTTTTTACTGTATGGTATAAAGGTTCATGGACTATAAATGGATATTTAGAAGTTTCTCTAGCAGAAAAGATAACAATCAGTATTTCAATTTGCTCTTCATCTAATATTCTTCACTAGTAGATCTCCAGACTTGTATCCACTCTTTGAAAATTAATCAAATGAAACTTCAACAGCCTATCCATCCACCATTTTAATTGCTCAGTACTTTTGCTGTTGAATGTCCACTTATTTAAAAAGTGGCTTTCATCTGGCTGCTCTACTATTATAAACCATATGATGGCAATATCATTTTGACTTGCAATGGAAATTTCTTTTTTGTTTTCCATCTCATTATATGAGCACATCTTTCTGATAGTCCAATTAAACTGTTTACAAAGTATTATGAAGTGATTTGGTGGTTATTTCTATTTAACATTTAATAAAATCTTCTTACTGATAATTCATTTCTACAGGAGATTTTATTAAATGTTAAAAATGTTCAAAAGTCACTTAGTTTGGAATGAAAAATTACAATTTTTAAATTGAAATTTATTACTGATCTTTTTCTCCTGCAAACCATGTTCAAATTAAATCAAAGAAAAAAAATTCTTTTCTTTGCACACTTGTATCCTTAACAGAAAAAAAGAATACAATTTTTTTGTGAACCTAGTTGTGATAAACAATTGCACAGAGTCAGAGTGGCTTGCATCTGGTGCAAAGGAAAATAAGTTCCTTAGTTCAATACCTGACACATAGCAACGGCATTTTGTTCCTTGAAAATGACATGAATCTCCCCTCCCAACTTTAGATTATTCCAGAAGTATATATTCTGTAACATTGGCTTTTGTACAGTTTAGCATGGTTCAACCAATAGCAATTCACGTACTGATTGATTGGACTGGAGGATGCCATTTGATTGGGTAACTGAGGACTAAGTGAAGAATGCTAATTGGTCAGTCAGCCATGGTGTTGGTATGATAGAATAGGGCTGAAGCAGTGAGAAGGAGAGCGAGTTTTACATTGGTGACATGTGCAGGAATTCAAGAATGGCAGATTGAAAAAAAAGTATTTGGTGTTGTACAAGCGATGTCAGAGGAAAACAATCTCATTTAACTACAAGCTATTTAAACCTTCCTCCCAATTATGTTGGACAGAGGTTTCAATATTCAGCTAATACTCAAATTCAGTGGCAACTGCATTCATGAAGCAACAAGCAAGCACCCAAACCACAAGATGGGATGATGAAGTTGAGGATGATTCTTAACTGCATGATAGCTGATATAATAGCAAGAATACATGAGGCAGATTCTGTAGAAGACTGATGTGTGAATGACCATGAAATGAATGTTGGCTAGACATGTGTTCTGTGGCCACAGGAGTGGTACAAGAAGTAAATGGAAATGTCACCAAGCATGCTTCTTGGCTGCATCCAGCTGGAGATGCTAAGCACATCAATTTAGCTGAGCTAGACTCAACAATAAAAGGTGTCAATTTGTCTATTTGATAGCGGGTGTAGACATTACATCTCATTATCGATTCAGCATGTGTACATTACTGAATTTAAAACACTATCTAGCAAGGCACAAATAAGAAGGCGTCTGGTGAAATGCTAATGAGGAGACGGCTGAGCACACTTCCTGAACTTGCAGCTGAATACAACTTGATGGTAGACATAACACTGATCAAGTCCAATCTGAATTAGGCAAACCATCTTACCAGGATGCCACAGAGGTGGTTAAAATTACACAAAGAGAGAACAAAGCCAGTACAGTCAGTATGCGCCACTACGAAGACCAAGTTAGACGCAAATCAGGTGGCTAATATCCACTGACAAACCAGGCACCCAAGCATAAAAAAGACCCTGTACTTTGTCAAGTTAGTAGACCATTCAGAATAGCCAGAAGTTATAAAATTGGTTGTCAAAGAATGTGAGGTATGCCAATCCATTGACCCGGTACCAGTGCATTGGCAAAAAAGAAAGCTAGACATGAGAGACAACTGGAGCAGGTTAGCAATCGACATCACCCACTATCGTAGTAGATATTTCTGACAATCATTGATTGTGGACCCTCTCAGTTCATGATATGACAACCACTACGTTGACAAGATTCTATCAGTGTAGTTTGCCAGTTGGAGTCAATTTTTTATGAACAGGGTCTGTCACTTTAGATATTGACCGACAATAACACAGTGCTCACATGCAATAATTTCAAGAACTTTTTGAGTAATTGAGGGGGTACATTTGTGGTTCCAATGTGCCTATGCACCCGCTGGGAATGACATAGTAGAAAGAATTCACTAAAGCATCAAAACCATTGTGGCTAGAAAGCAGTGTTCTATACTGGAGGTGGTCTACTGGTATAATGTCACGCCTAAAGATAACCACTCGCCTACTATAGCACCAGCTTATGCCCTTCATAGATACCATACCTGGATATGGGGCATCAATGCCATGCCCCACCCTGAACCTCATGATACTCGAGGAGCCTAGGAAGTGGGAGACATCATTTGAGTAAAAACTCCTCACAATAGGTGCATGACTAAGTTTAGAATAGGCCCATGACTCAGGTTAATAGTTCATGTCGATGAAGTTCCGCATCACATGAAGGACCTACGTCCGTTCATGAAATCGGTCCTGACGTCTGGATATGACAGCGATTCTGAAGAGTGTGAGGAGTTAGTAAACTTGAGATCAACTCCCCCGATAATGAATCCTTTGAAGATGAAACAACCTCACAGGATGACTCCCCAAATATCGACATCCAAAATACTAATGCAGTATGTCCTGCTAGCTCCAGAAGTATATATTCTGTAACATTGGCTTTTGTCCTGCTAGCTCCTCTGATTCATGCCATTTTCAAGGAACAAAAAATGCTGGTGCAGCATTTTTTGTCCCTTGAAAATGGCATGAATCTCCTCTCCCCACTTTAGATTATTCCAGAAGTATATATTCTGTAACATTGGCTTTTGTACAGTTTAGCATGGTTCGACTAATAGCAATTCGCATGCTAATTGGTCGGACTGGAGGATGCCATTTGATTGATGACTAAGTGAAGAACGGTAATCGGTTAGTTGGCAGTGGTGTTGGTATGGCAGAATAGGGCTGAAGCAGTGAGAAGGAGAGCGGGTTTTACGTTGGTGACATGTGCAGGAACTCAAAAACGGCGGATTGAAAAAGAAGTATTTGGTGTTGTACAAGCGACGTCAGAGGAAGACAAGCTCATTTAACTAGAAGCTATTTCAGCCTTCCTCCCAATCATGGTAGACAGAGGTTTCGATATTCAGCTAATACTACATGGGAAATGGTCAAGGCTACTAATTTTACAACTACTTTGCTATGCTACTTGTTTAATTTTAGTAAATTTCTTCACTAACAAACTAAACATTTCTGCAAAGGGAAAACTGATGTTTTGCAATTTTTTATCCAACATTTATTTTAGCATTTTTTGGTATTCAGTTTGTATGTTGTGCATTAAAAATGAGAAAAACAGATTATTAATGGTCAGGGATTAACTGAATGTAGATCTGACAGAATAGTAAGGTTTTTCCCTTTAGAAAAAGTTTGAACAACATTCATGAATTTTTATAGTTAAATGCAATTTTGGATACTAACCCATTATAAGTGCTCTAAAAGTAACATTTTTTTTTTATTACAGGTAAAAAAAGATAATTTGTTTAGTTACACCTTTCAACATCACATAAAATTATTTCCTACATGAAAAAACTGCTGTATTGTTTAATATATTAGAGTGAGTTAAAGTTAAAAAGTCGAATATTGCTCTTCATTTAATAAACTAGAATTGTTAAAAAAAAATAAATAAATAAATAAATGTTTAGTTCCCTTGATAATATGCTAGCTTGACAAAAAAGATTTACAAAAACTACATATCTATTAATAACATGTTATTAAATATAAAAAATTAAATATAAAAATATAGTTTTGTTTTTTTACTTTCTAGTAAAAAAGTTTAGTTTTGCACTGAATCACTGCTAAACCAAGAAATATTCCACAATCTACAAGAAAAGTACATTTACCTAAAATTTTTTGGACCAAAGTGTGGTAACTTTTGCCAGATAAAATATAAACTCCAGGTAAATCCACCAGCCACAGAGCCAGGATATGAAGAATATTCCAAGGTGGTTTCATTTACAACATCCACCATGGGACATAGAACTACTGTGTGGTCTGCTTTGATACGAGAAACAATTGGAACAAGCCTAAAGAAATTATAACAACAGAAAGAGGAGAAAAGCAAAATGAAAATAAACAATATAAATACAGAATCAATTTAATATGAAAGACAGAAATGCAATTACTTTATACTGTCAGATTTCATATTCTGAATATAAATAGCAAACAATTTTGTTGTTTTGTGTAAAATTGAGAATCTTTTCATATCACAGATTTTACACACATTATAAAAAACTAAAATTATTCAGCTTTATTATAATATTATATAAATGATTGAAGTTATTTATTAAAATGATATAAAATTATGCATGTTTATAAATAGAATTTACTTATTTCTGAAGAATTTTAAAATGAATCGTGCTATTTACATACACCTTGTATCATGTCTGAATTCAGATTTTCCTATTATAAAAAAAAAACAAAGCATTTCAATCAGCTGGGTCTAATTTCTGCACTTCTAAAAATAGTATATATCTTTTTGCATATTTATTTCCAATGACTTAAAGCAAAAATATGGTTGATAGTTTTTTTTTTCCCCCCGGTAAAATATTATTAAAAAGGTAAGCTTGTTACATGATAGAAAAAACGTAGATATCAAATAAACTGTTTTATACATATATATATATGATAACAATACATAATGTTTTTAAAAATAGAAATTAAAAATGAAATACTAACACTGCTTCTCTTAAATAAGGTACAAAAAACTTTAGTATTCTAACACTTAATCACTTGAAAGTTACAAACAACAAAATATAAGTCAGGATTTTATCTATAATTACCTATAGAAATATAGAGCGTGGAAAATGTTCTCAAAGTGCTAAAGTAAAAAGATTTTTTTCCCGGTTTGAAAATTTTCTCATCTAGTAACAAGCCTAGCAAATTCATACCTGTCTTTATACAGAAAGGAAAAAGAAAAGAAAATACGGAATGCATTTTTCTTTTTGAAACATTGACATTAAAGTGGGTCAATCTTATGCTAACTGTCAGTTAAAAGTTTCTTTGTAATGACTAAAAACTAATGAACTAAAGCAAATTGTAAGAGAAACCACTGTTTGATTTGGCATGCTTTAGAATGCTCAGCTGTAATGCATGGCATGGCTGAGTGGTCAAAATACACCATATCAGATAGCGGTTTCTCTAACAAAAGGGAACATGTATTTGAACACTTTAAGCCAGAGAACACAAAGTTTTCTTGATTGTTGCAGATACTGTTACAGCTGTAACGTTTATATATTGGATCGGATTTCCTACATTTTCCAACCGATTTCAACAAAACTTCACAGGACTACATAAAATTACCTTGTGGTGGTTCTAACAGCGCCAAAAATGGGAAAAATATAATTGTTTTTGCACAAAATCAATTTGAAAACACGATTAAGAGACATCGTGAAAATGGAAGGGGACAACTCACATCGGGTTGTTTGTGTGTGTGGGTTCCTTTAAATATGGGATCGGATTTCCTATATTTTTCAGCCGATAAAACAAAACTTCACTTTTTTTTTTTTTTTTTTTTTAGGTAGTGTTTCTTATTCTCTTGCACACTTTTTTTTTTTATTTTTTAACATTCAGAATGCTTTAAAAATTCCATTTACAAGACAATTATTTATAATAAAATTCTATTCAATCAGAGACTCATAACGATTGAAAACAATGTTTTTGTTTGAGTTTGGGTTTGACCAATTAAAAAAAAAAAAAAAAAAAAAAAAATTAAGACATGCGTGTCCGTCAACCTTAAACAATAATCTAACGATCTCTACTGATTGTACGAATACAAACATCGGATAAATTCTTTATCTTTAGGAAAGATAATGAAATCTAAACATACACAAGTCCTAACTAAAAATAATAACCGGAACGGGGAAACTACTTTAAATACACATGGTGTCCAATTTTTTACTGTATTCAATAAGTAAAAATCATAAATTGTAAAAGATTATTATTACAGAAAGGCTACTAAATGAATAAGATTTGTTAGATCATAATTAATAAACCCAAATAAAGTTAATATTTTTTGTATTAGAAACAATGAGTGGAAAATATATTCAAATCAGAATTCTAATTATGAATCACCACAAGCAAAATATGCAATTTTTTTTTTACTGTATTCAATAAGTAAAAATCATAAATTGTAAAACTAAAAGATTACAGAAAAGGCTACCTACATTTTTCAACCGATTTCAACAAAACTTCACTTTTTTTTTTGCATGTGTAGTGTTTCTTATTGTCTTGCACACTTTTTTTTATTTATTTTTACATTCAGAATGCTTTAAAAATTCCATTTACAAGACAATTGTTTATAATAAAATTCTATTCAATCAGGTGAGACTCATAACGATTGAAAACAATGTTTTTTGTTTGAGTTTGACCAATTCAAAAAAAAAAAAAAAAAAAAAAAAAAAAACTAAATTAAGACATGCGTGTCCGTCAACCTTAAACAATAATCTTTGTCAATTTTATTTTTCAGTCTTTATGATGGTGGATACTTGATCTATCTCTTACTGTTATATCCCCAGGCAACGCCAGGCTCTACTAGATATATAAGATAATTAAATATTTTTGAATTGTTTTAATTTTTCCATTCCAAATAAGACGTTTAGTCATAAATTTTAATTAAAAATCAACTAAAACTTTGAGTTTTTAACAAATTTAATAAAAAAATTTTTTATTTTAAAATTGTAAATAAAAAATTCTTTCAGACTCTTCAATTTATTTGTAATAATTTTTTTTTCATTCTGTTTTAGTTTTCAAGAATCATTTTGCAGGATATTTGTAAATTCGATTTACAGCAACGTCACCATTTTGTGTGTTTTTTAAAATTTGATTCTATTTTTAGAAAGTTAAAATGAAAAACAATTAAAAAGAAAATCATTCATAATAAGATTTTTGAAAGATGTAAAGTTGACTTTGAATGCATGTCACAAAAGTCAGAATGGATTGAAAAAAATTTCTTCAAATTTCAAATTTTAAACGTGAAATAAACTTTGGTCATGATATTTAAAATTTGATTTGCGATAGATTTACCAAAATTCAAGGTATAAAATTCTAAATTTAATGAATTTTCCGGCCTATATATATATATATATATATATATATATATATATATTTTTTTCGAATAAATTTATTAAAATTCTAATCAAATATATAATATTAATGGTATAAAAAAAATGAAATACCAAAATGGATACATTTAAATTCAAATTTAAGTTTAGACAGACTTTATCAAAAGCAATTTTATATTTAAAATAAGATTGCAAAATATTAAAAATAGGGATTTTTTCCTGCAAGAATTTTAAAATAATTATGAATTGATGCAATTTTTTCGGAATTATAGCAAAAAATATAAAACAATTTTTTTGTATTATGGAATTAACAATTGTATAATAATTGAACTTCATATGTCATTTTACTTTAGAATGGAAAAGAAATTTTATATTCCATTTATTGAACAGACAATGGTTCTTAATCTTCTTTAGATGAGAAATAGACATATAAATAGTGCACAGTTGCTATATTTAATAATTTGATCAACTGAAATGAAAATTTCAAATATTTAAAATTTGTCAATGAAAAAAAAAAAAAAAAATATAAATTCTAAATAAAAATGATAATTTTTATAAAAGTTTTTTTTTTTTTTTCTAAAATAAATATATATATGATAAAAAATGTTATATATTGCAACAATATATTTATACCTTTATTAATTATATTTATTTTCAACTTTTCAAATATATAAAAATATAATATAGTCAATTCTTATATTTTAAGTTGCATTCATTTTCATATGGATAATTTATATATAAATATATTTTATAAATAAAAAAGAATATATATAAAGCATGATTGATCTGATCCAGTTTTATATATTAAAAAATATTTATATATTTAAGGGGAATAAACCATAAAATATTATAAATTTGTTATATATAAATATCCTTTATGAATATATTTTTCTATATATGTTTATCAAATATTCAACTTAATGTTTCCATGACTAAATTTTGAAAAAAAAAAAAAATTTTACATAAATATAAATTAAAATTTATTATTTTTTTTTTTTTTTTGAATAAATATATGTCTTAATTTTTCCAAAAAAAAAAATAATGCAAAAATTTTTTCTGTGGTTTTGCATTTTTTGAAATTTATATTTTTTGCTAAAATGAATATGCTTAAATAAAAAACTGTTTGGTATATATCAGTTACAAAAATTTATTTTTATTTTTTAAATATAAATATATTTCAGAAAAAAGTTCTATATTTTTACTAAATAAATTTTGATATATTTATATTTCTAACATATGTTAAATCATAATAAAATATTTATGGATTATAAATTAATTGAAGTAAGAATTTTTATATAAATTTTTTATATATTTCAAAATTTTGGATAAATATCACCCCAATTCAAAAAAAAATAAAGTCATATTTTTTCAAACATTAAAAAGTCTATTTATTTTGAACTTATTTAAAACCAAACTCATAGAATCCAAAAAATGTGATTCTTATATATAGCTTTGAAAACAAATTTTTAATTGAATTTTATGGCATTTTTCAAGAGAGCATTTAAAAAAAACATATTTCAATAAATTGTTTTGTATATTTTAATTCATATTTTTTGTAATATAAATGGAGGAACGAACCTATGTTTAAATTTTTAATATAAAAAAAAAGCATGAATTTTTTAAAAATAAATATATATATGAAAAATTATATATATATATTTATATATATTTATACATATATCTATATATATATATATATATATTCATATAATATATAAGATTGTAAAAATATTAATTATACACCTACTATTGTCAAAACCTCTTTTTTCATATATTTGTCAATTAATTATGCTAATACAATTTTTTACATTATTTTTTGTCCTAATTAAACTTTTACAATTATTCAAAATTATTTTAATAAAATTGATCAAAAAAATTTTATTTTTTTTTTAAACACAATTGAATATATGTATTATTATCTTCAAAAATTAGCCAAATATATATGTCCATAATAAATATGATAT